ATGCATTCGGAGCTCCAGAGACACACCTTTGCACCCAGTTTCTCCCGTGGTAGCCGCTGCAGAGCTGCAACACGCACCCTGCTGCTTGGGGTGTGCTTCTCCAAATCCCAGCTGCACCACTCTCACTTTAATCACCTCCGTCTGGATTGCACCATTTTCACGAATCCAATCACGGAGGAGGAGAAAATGTCCCGCACGCAGCCAGGCGATGAACACAATTTTCTTTTAGAGCAGCCTTGGGAGTGCCATGCCTTCTCTCTCCCTCCCTCCTCTCTTTTAATGGGTCATCAAGTTGATTCCCACTTAAAGAAACCCTTTCCCGGGGGGGGGGGCGTTCTTGGCATTGGGTCCTCGGAAGGGTTTCCCAGTCCCTGCTGGGGGTGGCGCTCTAGGGTCTGTATTGTTTGCCCAAAGGCCTTGCAGGTGGCAAGACGTGTAAGCCCTTCAACCACACATGCTGGGTGTGGGTGTGATCTTGGCTGGCCCTTCGGGGTGGGGGTGGGGAGGATGCCAGCTCCTGGACCCGCTGTCAGGTCCTCCATCCTGCTGAGCTATGCTAGCTCTTGGCTGCTCTTTCCTGCCCCTTCCCAGAAATGTAGGCGGGGGATCTATTTGAAAAGTTAGTAGACAATTGGCTTTCATTCTTTCTTTCTTTTGACTTATTTGTAGAACTGCTGTTTTCAGCTGTCCTTTCCTGTTGCAAGTCGGAGAGGATGAACCCCTTCTTTAGCAAACAGAACAAAGCGAGGCCCTTGTGCTGGTTCTCCAGAACAAAACCAGACCTAAATCGGTACTGTGGGAAGGGCTCCATCAGGCCCAGATCAAGCCTCCATGCTCCAGAGTTCTTGGAAACCCTCGATTCGTACAGTTGGTGTTTTTCTTTTTCTTTTAAAAGCACAAGAGGTGGATCTCAGAATTGATGCTGCCTCGGCCCCGGAGCAGAAGACCTGCTTTATCCCAGCAGCCATCCATCGTCAGGTGGCTTGTGAGACTTGCACCCATCAAGGGGACTCGGTTCCTTCCGAAATATCAGCCTTGAGGCTGAGCTGAGCAGCAGCAGCAGGGCTGCAATCAAGCCTGGCAGAATTTCTGGGATTTCCCACTGACTTTTAAGATACCACCTTAGGTGGCAAAGGAGCCCTTGGAGACCCTGGGATCTCCTGCTGCCACAGCGGATGAGTGACTGTTTCCATGTCTTGTGTTGGTTTGGAAGCTTCTTGTGCCGACAGCGCCCTCCTGCGGTTAACCTGGTAGCACGCAACCCGTTGCCAACATCCTGTCTCAATTTTTTAAAAAAAGTCTTTGCAGATGATTGGGGAGAATGGTGAATCTCGACCAAAAAAGAATTTGGGTAATCCTTATCTTCTGTGGAGCTGGAGGGACGCCTTTGTCCCCTACCCATTTTGGCCATCAAAGGGACATCAGTGAGAAGGCAGGGTTTTTAATGAGCTTCTGGGTTCAACAGAAGGTAGCGCTCCAGGCTAACCCCTCATCTGACTGCGTCCTAAGACCCAATGAATATTTAACATGCAGCTGATTTTTCATTCAACATTTCATTCTGTTTCTGTGTGTCTGACAAAGCTCGCATTAAAATATAATACCTAGTTAATCTTCAAGGTGCCACCTGTTTTTGTCATTTTGTTTCTTTTGGATTTTGCCTGCTATACATCTGAATAAATAAGCTACGATGAGCCAGGATCAAGGGGTTAAGTGGTGGGGTTGAGCGAGTGCCAGAATTGTTTGTCAGAAAACCACCTCTGGTTGTGAGAGGTCCAAACATGACAGGAGACGCTTCACAGACCACAGCAACGACCAAGATCCTTGTGAGGCCACCAGAGGTCGGTCTCCCTATCCCGGTTGTGCTACGATGCCCCGCACATTTGCCAAGAGGACTTTACAGACCACAGCAACAACCAAGATCCTTGTGAGGCCACCAGAGGTTGCTCTTCCCTATCCCGGTTGCGCTACGATGCCCCGCACATTTGCCAAGAGGGGCCGGCTGTGTGGGCATAAAACAGGTTCTTCTGCCTTGCAGTTCCCAAAGGGTTAAGATTTCGGGCTGAGTCACGGCTGGCTGGCAGTGAATGCCAGGTCGGAAGCGCGGGTGTGTTTTGTGTGGCGGGTTTGGGTCGGGAATGCCCAGAAATGGATCACAGAAAGCAGTTGCTGAAGAAGGACGGAGCGGAAGCCCAAGGAAATGTGGTGAGCGATGTGGCGACCGGGCGGGCTTGACCCCTGAAAGGGTCACCTCAGGGTCCGTGGGAGTGAGAGGTCCGAACTGGAATGATCCTGACCTTCGGGATTACAACATGGTCTAGTCCCAAATAGCAACCTTCTCAAACGCCGGGTGGTCCTCATACTTCAGGGGCCGGTGCCATCCTCCTCCTCCTAGTTCTCTGCTCTGATTCTCAGGCGGGCTGGACAGAAGAGGACCCCCGGGCTTCCTTGACCATCCATGCCTTGAATGGACTCACTGGTCGGCCTGCCGCAGGTCTGCCCATGCGCCTCTCTGAGCTTGAGGCTCCCAACAAACCCTGGATCGAGATCTTGAAGAGGTAGGTGAGGATCCACTGGGGCAGCCAGCCTTCCTCCAGGAGCTGAGCGGCAGGGCTGTAACTCCAGCTGTATTCTTCCCCCCCCCCCCTTCCAGTGCAACCAATAGAGAGGGCTGCCTGGACAAGAGCAGCCTGGCACCCCAGCGGCTGAAAGCGGGCACCTACAAGCTGCATTTTGACACAGGGGAATACTGGAGGCAGCAGGGCCACACCAGCTTCTACCCTTATGTGGAAGTAAGTGTCACGGCAAATGAAAACAGAGACTGGTGAGTAAGAAAAATCCAGACAGGACAAAAGACCACAGTGGCCATGGTTCACTGTCCTTGGACAGGTGCCCTGCCTCCCGGAAAGGGGTAAATCAACACAAACAGAACATGACACAGATTGCTTATGATAAGGATCAGCGGTTCCACTCAATTCCTATACAGTATGTTTTTTTAGGTGCTTAAGGAACAATATAGTATCATCCTTTTAGGGCTGTTCCTGAAGGCAGCTTAGTGTAGCTGCTTATGTTTGCTTAGAAGATCCTCAAGGCACATGTGAGTGTTCAGGAAACAACAGGAGTTGCAGCAATGGAAGAATGTGCAGTGGAAAAAAGAACGTGGGAGTAATGGGGGGGGGAAGCCCCCAAGGGTTGGTGAAAATCACTTGGGTGAGCCAGACCTTGCCCACGAGGCACCCTCACAAGCATAACTGTGTCAGACTAGAAATTCCCATTGGGCTGGAGCAAACAGCACCAATGCCGGACGACACGACGAGGGTGCTGGGGCCGGCTGTCCTCCTGCTGCAACTGAAGCAAGGCCAGGAGCTCCTTGCACTCTACCCGCCCTGAAGGAGCTCCACCAAGCTCTGGCCCTTTCCTGCCTCTGCCACCACCCCCTCGATGGTTTCTTAAGGCTGCCTGGCCCACTTTTCCCTTCTTGGTTTCAGATCGTCTTCACCATCACAGAGGCTGAACGGAGAGTGCACCTCCCACTGCTGCTCAGCCCCTGTTCTTACACCACCTACCAAGGAAGCTAGTGGAAGCGACGGGGGGGGGGGCAGGAGGAGGCAGCCGCTCTGAAAGGAACCGAGCTGCTTTGTCTGGTTTTGAAGAGGAGAGAGGCCCAGCGGGCTGAAAGCCAGAGCTGCGTCCCAAGTCCCATGCTGGAACAGCCTCGGGAGCTGAGATCAGAAACCTGAGATGAATAAACGGTCCGCCTCACAGGGCCGTTGTGAGGAGGAGCACAAGAGCTGGAGATGCCCTGGGTTGAGTCTTGGTCTTTTCACCTGCCTTGGCATTCTTTGCGCAGCAGCGGAAAGCATGTCCCCCTCTTCCCCTTGGAGGGTGTTTGGGTGGCCAGCGTGGCTGCTGCATTTCAGCCCCTGTTACAGAAGTCCAGGGGCTGATGAAGGAGGTGGAGGAGGAGGCCTGCTCCAGGAGTCACCCGTTTTGAAGGAGCAAAACAAGGGAGAGCGGCCTTCACAGACCTATGGTAAGAAAAGCCCTTTATAGGCAGGGCCTGTTTAATGCAAAAGAGGGCCAGCCCAACCCTGATCTTTCTTCTCTTTCTCTCTGGGGAGGGGGAACACGTCCTCTGCAAATGCCTCCCCACCACAGCCACCCTGGGAGTCCCAAGCAGTAGGCGTGCACACAAAGCGTCCAGGTCAAAGGCAATCCAAAGGCACATGGTCAAGTTCAGCTACGTTGGGGTTGAGACAAACCCAGCCGGACCCTGGCCCAAGGTGTGGCCGAGCACGGAGGTCTCCAAGGGCTTGAACCCCAGATTGTCCAAGGGGATCCCAAAGGTGGTGAGTTTGGCCTCGTAGGTCCGCAATAGATCGTTGTGTGCCTGCAATGGGAAACAGAGGCCGTGAGGCTGATGTTGTTGGTGGACCCCTAAATGCATGCTTGATCTCTCTGCCTCTGACGGATGGAAGAAGACAAAGGGCAACTGAAATGACTGCACGTTGGCCCGTCTTGTGAACCCATTCCTAAACATCTGGAGCCTTTCAGCTTAGAAACATGTGGATACATTACAGGGAGGCAGGTTTGGGAGAGTAACAGTCAAATGTTCATGAAGTCTCTTGCTTTAGTCAATGAGTTTTAGAAAGGCCAGAAAAGGGGTGGGTGGGAGAAAGAAACTACTTAAGTCTGTTTGCACTATGGAACTCATGGTTGCAGACATTGCTGCTGGCATAGAAGGCTTCTGAACAAATGGTTTTACCAAATGCCAAGAGTCCTGGCCGTGGGAGCCAGGGAAAATCTTTCCTTCCTTGGTACCTACCTTACACACTCTGGCCAGCTCGTACTGCAGGTCCTTGATGGCATTGTTTTTGGAATCAAGCACATCCTGTGAAGAAGATCATCCGGGCATTAATCTCTTGCAGGAAAGAAACTGGTCTCTCCCTGCTATCCAATGCATGGTGTGTATATGTGTGTGTGTGAGAGAGAGAGAGAACGGGGGGGGGGCATTACCCAAGTACCATCTCTCTGACCATTCCTTTAGGCACCTGTGTCGGCCAGTTGGGAAATCCCAATCCACCTTTTGGCTGGCCCCTAAGATCTCCCTAAGCAAAATTCATGTCTTTGTAAATCTTTCTTGGTGGCAGTAAGGACTAGAGGCTTGCTCTGCATTGCTTTAAAACCTACCATTATCCAGGTGCTCAAATGTCCATCCAATACTCACGAAGGAGCCATGGAGAAAAAGAGAATTGTACAATAGCAAGATTGATAGTTCCTTGCAAGTGCCTTCCAACTTGACTATTCTATGATTCTATGTCCTGGCTCTTGGGCTCCTATCATCCAGCTGCATTTAGTCTTTTGCAGACCTGGAAATGTTCCTTTTTTTGGCAGGCAATTCCCAGAACCCCTAGAGGCCATCTTGGCCAGAGGATTCAGGGAATGGTCAGGGAAATGGAATGTCTCTGGTCTCTGGCTCTTTGTGCATAAGTCTAGCCTGGCTCTCTTGAACAACCACGTGTGATGGGAAAGGAAAAGTTTAACGGCTGCCTCGAGACTCAATTTCTGAAGAATAAATAAGATTTAAAAAATGAGCTGGAGTTCTTATGATAAAGTTGCTCTTGCATCCTGCCTGTTGCCAGCAATGGCGTCAGTACCAATATGGGGAGATGTACTGGAAGTTCCCTTGGGGATGAACCTTGCAGATAGGCAGCAGCTGAATGCAGGAATGTGGAAGGAGAAGCAGCTGGTGGCTGGAGTGAAGTGTTGCGCTGCATCTCCAGTTACTGGCGCCAGCAGTGCCTGGAATGTGTAAGCTGCAAACTCCTGTCCCCAGCTGGGCCAAGGCTCAGGAGATGGTTTTTCAGCCCATGGAATGAAAGGAAGTCCAAGGAGCCACGAGGCTACCGGGATCCCTAAACTGGACCATCAAGGGCTCTTGATTGCAGTTCATTGTTCCTGAACCCAGGACTGGAAAAGAAGGGAGGGTGCTGGGAAGTGTGAGGGACCTGAGACGCATAGACAGCAGCGGGTGCCTGACATACTGCGAAGTATAATTTGTCAAAAAATTTGAAAGCACAAATGGCCTCCTCCAGGGTGATAGGAGTTTGGAGATGGTAGCTTAGCAGATGGAAAGCAGCCTCTGGGGAGACTTGTGGAGATAAAGCTGGAGACTCAATGTGTGGCTGGTGATCCCTGATCCCCTTGCGCAGCTGCAAGATTCTGACAGCCCCCAGAGGTCTCAGGCAGAGGGGAGGGGGAGCTGAGGAGGCAGCCGCAGTCACTCTCTCTCTCTCTCTCTCCTCTCCCTCTGCTTCTGCTGCCAATAGTGCAACGGTCCATGAAACACAGTCCGGGTGGCACTGCTAGCAGAGTGGGTGGTTGCTTCCGTTCTCCTGGCTGCACACTGGGTGATCTAGGCTTTAAAAATCCTGAACTCCTGGAGTGGAAGAAATTATACCACTCAAGGAGATTGCCAGGCAGAGGGAAAGGAGAAAGAACTCTGTGATGAAGTGAAGCAGCTTTTAAACAGCAGGAATCCCACAATCTCTTGGCTTCTGGCTGCTAAAGATTTCATTTTAGCTGCATTTTAGCTGCACCTCATTTTAGCTGTGTTCCAAGCTCCAAAGAAATAACTAATTCATTATATGCTGCTAAGTTGATTCTGACTTACGAAAGCTCTTTCCACGGTTTTCCAGATAGAGAATACGCAGAAGTGGTTTACCAGCACGCACCTTCTGTGTGTGTGATTTGAGGCTGTGCAGTTTACCCAAGGCTACACAGACGCCCCCTTCTCCCAGGAAGCACAGTGGAGAATCAAGAGTCCTGACCCTTGGCTGCAGGTATTCCAACTCACTGAGCTATTTAGCCAGCTGTCCCAAAGAAGAGACTGATTGACCTAGGAGTCTGGCCATGGTGATGATGTTGAGCACTCCAAAACACAGTCCCTCGTTCTGGATGCAAGAGGCTTCCCCTCTAGACCCAGAACCATCATGTTAAACTACTTCTTTAGGCATTTGGGAGGATGCTGAGGCGGGAGGGGGGGAACAAACCCATCCAACCAGTTTTCACAGCCTCTCTCCCTCAACCCATCTTTACCCACACAGCCACAGCTAAAGCCCTGCTACATTGGGTGTAAAGGGAGGAAAGTGTCCAGAATAAATGGAGATGACAGCCGGGTGGGGGTAAGGGTCCAGAGCACAGTACCTCCAGCTTGCGAGTGACCACGGTCAGGGCACTGGGATCAAGGTTGGAGGCGGCCAGCACTTCGTTCAGCTGCACCTCCTTCTTCTCCAGGGCGTTGTTGAGAGCAAGAAGCTTCCGCTCCAGTAGCAGGTTCTTGAAGCCTGTTTTCTGTTGCACTTCGTTAATGGCTTTGGTGAATTTCTGGTACAGGTCATCTCGCTCCTCCTGCACCTGGAGAGGAAGAACCGCCAAACCAAAGCCCGGGTGAGAGAGAGTGGGGCTCCTGGCCCCTCAGACTTGTCAGGCACGGCACTCCTGATAGATTGCTCCTGACAAGTCAAGGGTTGGGTGGGCAGGAATCCCTGGACTTCCACAGATGACGGGCCCGGGTCTTTTGCCCGGCAAGCCAAACCCGAATCTTTCTATTTCACCTCCTCCCATGCTAAAGGTCAACCACAGCGTGACGTGCAGTCCCCACCTTGCTGAACCTCTGCTGCAGGACTTCATGCTCCCACTGCAGATCCTTCAGGTCCTTCTCGGCGACTTTTAGGCGGGCCCGTATGCTCTGGAGAGGGAAGGGAAGGGGTGACAGCAGCTGCGTGGGGTCTCAAATGGAGCTCTGCAGCCCCCTGTATTTATTCGGCTTTTCTGGCACCTTATAAAGGCTCACTGATTCTCCCAGGCCCCTTCTGGAACTTACTGCTTTTCGACTGGGTCTCCCAAGCTTAAAATCTGTGGGTTTTGTGTGTTTTAGTTTTAATAGTTTTTTTTCTTTTCCCCTGACATTTTACTACTGCACCTGCTTGTGAACTATCCAAAAGAGCGCATGTGGCTGGATACGTATAAAAGTTACATTAAAGCAAACAAATACATGCACAGAAAGGTATCTTTTCTTGAGAAGGATACAAGACAGGAGGTAGCCCTGTGCCATCCTCACAAAACCAGATTACTATTTTAAAACACAGATGAAGAGGTGCTGAACAACAAGCAGACTGGAAGGGGATGGCACCGACCACTGACAACTTTTGCAGGCATACTGCAGGAATCAAACGAGTGCACAGGAAAGGCAGCTGCAGTGGAGACGGTCCCGGTGCTGTCCCCCCCCCAACCTAGCCGAGGGCCTTAGGGAGCAAGCCGAGGCTCCCTGCCCAGTCCCAGAGGGAGAGGGTTCAGATTCCGGGAAAGGTAGTGCCCTGAGACTTACCGCCAGCATCCTCTTGTCCTTCTCGTAGTGGGCCAGCTTCCTCTGCAGCTCAGCCACCTCCTCCCGGGCTCGCTGCAGCGGCTCGATCAGCCTCTTGTTCTGCAGGAGGACTTCGGCCATCTCCTTCTCCAGGTGGTCCTCCTTCTTCTTCATCTCCTCCATCTGCTCCTGTACTCCGGGAGGGGGGGCGGGGGGGGAGAGAGACCGCAGGTCTTCAGAACGACTTGCTGGAGAGCAGCTCCCCTTCCCCACACCCTGGCAGCCCCCTCTTTGGAACTGTTTTCCTCAACAGGCAAAGCCATAATCCAGATTCCCCCCCTCCTGAGCCTAGGGCTGTCCCAGGGGAGGGGAGTCAGTGGGATGTAGTTCCACAGGACAGGTGTTTAGGAGACCTTTGTCACAGGCAGAGAAAGCAACACAGAATCCCCAATAAAGAGAGGCTGGGACACATCTGGAGGCACGAGGGGGTTAAAAAAACACACAAAACATTCCGATTATCAGAGCGCACACATTTTGCATATACAGAAGTTCTGAAGCAAGAGCAATACATTCAGCCCACAGTCCTCACCCAAGGGTGGAGTGAAATCTTCGTTTTGGTGAGGGACGTAAGATACAAAAGGCTAGGAAGGATTGCATTAGTCAACTAAAGCAAAGCAAAACCCCAAGCATTCATCTATCCATTCATCTATCTATCCCATTATCCCTGTGTGCAATAAGGGGACCCATCTGGGGAGGGTGCCGGGCGGAGCATGCCTTTTACCTTCAGGGTGTTAATGAGTGCCAGGTTGTTCAGAGTGACGTCGTTGTAGTAGTTCTTGATGTCGCTGAAGGCCTTCTCATGGTTCTTCATCAGGGTGTTGATCTGCCCATTCTTCCTCTCCTCGATCTCGTGGATTTCCGTCTTCCTGCGCAGGTCAAGCTCATCGTGCAGCACTCGCATCTTCTTCTCGTATTTGGCCTCGATCTCTGTGGGGCAGGGAGCAGCCGCGAAGGCAGACTTAGTGCTCCACAGACCAATCAGCGGTAGGGGTAACCAAGGTCTCCCCCTGGATGACGGCTTATTGCGGGGGGGGGGGCTTGGAGAGACTTCATGAAAGCCTCTATTCTCAGAAGGGAGAGTGCCTTGCATTCTCTCCCCACCCCAGCCCTCGCCTGCAGGGAAAACAAGCTCACCCAAATGACACGACAAACGCTCAGAGACCAAATGTACGAACCACCCCATCAGAGCAGCGGACAGACTGGCAGAGCCTGGCATTGAGTACAACTTGCAATCACAGGCACAGCACTTTTCAGCGGCTGCACCACGGAATGGAGCTAAACAGGGAAGAGCTTGCCTTGTAAAGTTTGGATAGCCTCCAATACTATATTTACCGTTTCCATCCGGTTTTACAAGCGGCCAACGGCTATGGCTGCATCCGTTCTCAGGATGCATCCAACAACTTACCTGAGTTTCTTGCTTATTCCTGTTGCCTTTGATAAAAAAGACGAAGGCTCACAAAATGTTAGGCCAAATAAAACGTCTTAAGGTGCCTCTAGACTTTGTTGATATTCCTAATAAACCTTCTCCCCACCAAAAAGGTTGATTATCCAGCTCCACCAACAACAACCCAATAAGGATGGCAATAGCCAAGGCTGCCTTCGTTCACAGCACCACAAGGAAAAACACATGTGATCACCCTGAACCACAATGTCACACCGAAGCTTCTGCAAGCATGGGGCTATGCCACAGGGAAATGAATTCCACATCATGGAGAATGTGTGTGAAAGGGCTGCCTCAGGGAAAGAGAGAGAGCGAGTGCTGCCAGAGGAAGGGAGTCATCCTGCTGCCGAGACGGCCTTCCTCACCCCAACCGTTGGTGCCAAATGCCAGAACTGACCTTTCACTTGTCTCTCAAAGTCATTCCGCAGCCGTGTGATCTCCTCTTGTTGTTTCTGCCAAGACGACAAGGCTGGTTAGGGATAGTGCTTGCAAACACTGAAGGCTGTTCTTGGAGGCTCAGAAACAGAGCCAACTCTCGTTGGTTCTCTGCAGAAACAGCTGAAGCTTGAGGCGCCCTTTCCCCATGACCCCCGCAGAGAGCAGGTGCCAGCAGCCACCCCGAAGCTTGCACGCAATCGGACCTACCAGCCGAAGGTTCTTCACCACCATCTCGTTAGCCAGCTCCTGCTCCTTCAGCTCCACCTTGAGAGAGCGCATGTCCTTGCGCAGCTCCATCTCCTGGGATCGGTGGTCCTTCTGGGCCAGCTTCATAGTCACCGTCCCCTCTGCCTTCAGCTCCGTGATGTTATTTTGGTGCTCGTATAACAGGTGCTTAACCTTCTGTTTGTAAACCTAAGATAAAAGAAAAAAAAGGGGCATGTTAGTACAACAGTCACATGGGAAAGTTCATTTTTAGGACGCTCTCCCAACCTCCTACGCACTGTGGACCTTGGCTAGGGGATCCTGGGATATGTGAACTGAGGGATTCTGGGGGTTCAGACTGAGGGATTCTGGGAGCTGTAGTCCAAAAACTGCATCTTCCCAAACTCTTGGGCAGCACCTATCAGCAATGACACCATCCTCTGAAGACCTTGTCAAAACCTAGGCATACTTGGTGTTAGTCAATATGGCGGGGGTGGGGTGGGGTGCATCAACTGCACCCAGGAAGTCTCACTTTTATCTCCACTTGGTGGCGCTCTTCAGCCTCCTCCATTTCCCTGTCCTTGTTGCGCAGTTCTGCCTTCTTCTCATCCAGCTGCCGTCGAGTGATTTCCCAGAAGGTGTGGATCTTGTCTCGTTCCAGCTGGAAGTAGTTGCGCTCCTCTCGCTCACGGTCTAGCTCCTCCCGAACCCGCCCAATGTGGTCTTCCAGCTGCAAGTCCAAAGAGGGTCAGCCCAAGGCAAGCTGAAACAGACCAAAGTGGACAAGGAGGGCACCCTCCTCACCACTGGCACCGCTGGCTTTCTTGACATCACAGAATCCTGAAGCAATTTTTCAGCCTGTGCCTGGCAAAGCCTTTCCAAATAATTTTTTTTAAAGGCCGACAGGATGCATCACACTTTCATTTGAGAGGGAACAAGAAATGTATATCTTCTCTGCAGAGAACTTTATTTCTGCATACCTGATACTTTGTGGAAAGGGATAAAAATCAGTGTATAACTTTTAAGAGGAATATTCCAGGGATGCAACTGAAAGAATACAAAGCATGTCCGCAATATTGTTAAATAATCCTTTCCCGTGGCATACAATGGATGCCACCTTTTGTCCCCTTCAGAAAAAGTTTAACTCTGTTATTCCATGGAAGACAGAAGGGCTGAGGAAGGACATACAGTAGGTCCAATCCTGGCAATGCAGAGGTTCTCTCCACAATGATCTACTATTTTGGCCCAGAGGTCCACAGGGGGTGTGCCATTGGTCCAGGAAAGTGAGCCAGAAAGCCAGCTAAGAACCCTACCTGTCTTCCTTGTAACCTTTCTCAGGCAGGAGAGAATGAGACAAGCAGTGCAGCCTATGTCAAGGTCTCTCCTCTTCCTAAATCACCCTAGCTAAATCTCCTGGCAAACCACACTGCCTTCAATGCAACAAACATCTGCCCCCCCCTTTGTTCCCCTTCATCCTTGCTCACCTGTTCTTTGGTCATGCCTTCCGGAGGCAGGGCATCCACCACCGCTGGGCCTTTCGCCTTGCCCTTTTTGCCACCCCCTGCTTTCTTCTCGCCCTTCTTTTTGGGTGCCTGGCAGGAGGAAAGAGAAAGAGAGAGAAAAGGCTCCTCGATGAGATACATACCAGGCCCGAGTGCCAAGCTCAGATAGGGTGCCGTGGAGGGAAATCCCACACATCCAGCCTGGACCATGAGGCAGCGCTGGGTCACCCAGGACTCTTTGAAGTCATTCCTCGACCTCTTTGTCCAACTGCAGCTTCGTTGCTCAATGGACAAGCTCACGGTCGGCGTCAACCATCAGCCCAAGAGCCAAAACGGAACCTTCGTTGCCCAAACGGGGCTTCCCTACAGTTTTGCCCAAAGTCCCAAGAGCAGCGTTAACTCCTGGACAGAGCAAAGGGGCAACTTCCAGATGCTAAATTGTTATTGATGCATTTGTTGTTGTATTAGTTATTGTTGCATTTTCACTCCCAGGGACGGGGAGGGGGAATGGAGAGGGAGATTTTCTGTCTCAGGGTTGAGAGTCAATGCACCACAAAAGGGGGGGGGAGAGAGGGGAGGGCTCCCTTGGCTGCTGTGCCTCAGGCACCAGGAGGTCTTGGGGCGACCCTGGGAGAGTCCCTCCCCCTCCTTTGGGGTCTCCCTCCCCACAGGAAAAGGGTGCCCTGCTGCAGGGTCCTCCCCCCCCAACCCTCCCAGGAGGGCCTCTGCCTTCGCAAGGGCTCCCTCGACTGGCTGCTGCCCGAAGACGGGGTTTTGTGGCGGAGGGGGGAGGGAGGGACGGC